CAAAGTTAAAGGCCTGTTTCAGAAAATGGAAAAAAAGTCTGAGGGTATTTGCCCACTCTACCTTCATGCCCAATTTCAGGTCATTCGGCTGAAAAACGGCTGAGTTGAATCTCTTTAAAGAAATGGCAGAAGGAGGAGGAGGAGAAGAAGAAGGAGAAACATGAGAGAAAACAATACATTTCTCCCATACTATAGTAATTAACACCAGAATGACGTTTACTTCGGTATGATTGTCAAAGGAATGGGATTCAAATAAAAAGTTGGCCTTGGTTAGCCCTATCTAGACTGGGCTTTTGGGGGATTCTTGGGACGGGGGGGGGGGCTCATTCTCCCTGGCCCTCTCTCATAAGTCGTGAACGGTATAGCGCATGACCACCAAATTTTCACAACAATTACTTTGGTATCATTATGGCGTAATATGACGTAATTTTGTTTCTTTCTTTTTGCAGATCTTTCGTTTTAGAATGATTGCCAAAGGAATAGGATTTGAATACCCCAATTGGCAGTTTTGATTGTTTCTCATTGCATGTCTATTGTGTTTAGGCGCATCAAGGGTTTTTCAACGATTTCGCCTCATAAACTGCTTGGAAATGATAAAATTCCCATTGATACAAATAAGCATAGTAATATATGGTATTTCTTGGTATAGATAAACTTGGACCATATTCTATTTATTTTTGACAACCTGTATGTCGTGTCATCTTTTTCAGCAAATTAGTAATACATGTATATCTTTAGAGATGGAAGGACACATACCTAAACTAGAGTTCGGCAATCTCATACCTCCATGACATGTTTAGTCCTTTCGTAAAGCTTATGCATAGTGATGATCACATAAATGGCTTACATTTACAATCCTGCTCATCAGCAAAATTTTTATACAAATTATGCACATAGCCCCTAGCCAATAACATACAACACACTGGTGAAATCCTTACCATTTAACATGGACAACGTATGATATTGTTGGTTATATGCAAGTATGACCTCTGACATACCTTTGCCAACTCATGTTTGCCATCCAAGCTGACGAATTATACATTTTTTACTGCCAATATGCAAATTATAAGAGCCCATTTGATCATATTCTCCGCCCAATGACAGGGTTATCTCAAGAAATAAGGCTATTCTAGCGTTTCCTCATAAATTATGCAAACGAGGTCCTGATTTGAATAAATTATGTTTAGTGATGTTCGCCTTAATTGAACTTCCAAGCATGGCAAGCACAGCAGTTACCACCATAAAATTGTACCAATTTCCATTAATTATGCAAATTAGGTCTTCATTTACATAATCAATATCTACCAATGATCTTGTTGTTCTCAATTACATATGTCTAAAGTGTTTCATAGCCCTAATATGGAATACAGCAGATTTATAGAATTTCCTCATTAATTATGAAAATTAGATCCTGATTTGCATAATTGTATTTTAATCATGTCATGCATCATTTCAGCTACCTACCTACCAAAAATCATGACGATCCATCAAACAGTTGTTCAGTTATCCTCTCTCGAATATTTTTAAAGAAACCATCCTGCAGTTCCAGAACAAGCCGCTAGGGGGCCCAAACTCATGTGACTTCTTTCCAATTGCACGAGAGCTACCTATCGTTCAAATTTCATGACCCTAGCATGTCCAGATCGCGAGATATCAAAACCGGAAGTTGCGCTGCAGTGCCAAGGGAAGCCACTAGGGGGACCAAAATCTAATCATTTCTAGTTTTCGTCACACCCTACCAACACACCAAGTATGAAACCAATCCATCCAGGCGTTCTTGAGTTATCTTGTTGACCAACAGACAGACAGACAGACAGACGGACAGATAAACGCAACTGAAAATATAACCTCCATGACACATTTCATGGAGGTAAAAAGACTCTTTCTTACACAAGGCAATACGCCTGTGCAACGAGTCTTTGCAGTAATGACTTTCAAGGACTTTACTTCAGTGCCCATGTGTGGCTTTGTAATGTATTTGTTTGCGTGTCTGTATATGTATTGTAATGTTAATTTGTATTTGTATTTACTATGTACAAAATTGTAAAAAAAATCAGTGTCATTCAGCTTGGTTGTGCACTGGCTGCAAGGCTGATTTTATTAATAAACTTGAAACTTGAAACCCACAATTATTGTTCTGGAATAATGATGTTGTCGACGATGATGATAGCAAATCAGAATTTTGAGTGAGTGTTATTTTTTACTTATTCTCATGGCACGAAGGTAGAATTTACTGTTTATTGTTTATTGCCAGTTTGCACATAAAATAAAACAGTATGTAATGACTATGTACAACCAAATGTGCGGGAGAACCCAAGAAACATAAGGGTTTATCGAGTGGGTTCTCCTAAAATCCAATTGTTTTTATGACCTCTTTTTACACACGTGTATTGTAAATAAGTGACAACGAAACAAATTAAATCAAAATAGATACAAAATAATATAGAGTTAACACACCGAACTAACTAACTAACTAATTGACTAGACAATAAAGTAAGACTATCAAAAACATTCCATTAGTCAAATCATGTTATTATGCATTAGAGCAAAGGATAAACATATTCTAAGACGATTGTAAGTTTTCTTTACGAATAGACTGAAAAAAGTATGTGATAATTCTCCCTACTACGATACATTTCGTCTCACAAAATCAGACCTAGGGGACTCCGTGATGAAAATGGTGACGGTACAACATGCCGGATTCACACATGCTTCTATGCTTCTCATAACAGGTGTGAAGGATAAAAGGGCATTTCTGAATTTGATACGCCCTTCGTAGTAAAGTAAGAACGAAGTGCTACCGATCCAAATGAGATTGCTGCCTGCGTGTACACCTACCGTTTAATAAGATTGTATCGAGTAGTTTCGAGGTTTTACCCTTAAGGGAAAAGTTACCCGCCCAAATGCAAGGTTAATCCGGTGTGAGTGTATAGAATTTGTCACCATGGATGTAAATACCCTGTTTCTCGTTCACGCATTGAAATGTCATTATTTTGTTGCTTGGGCTTTTTCTGGTTTAATGTTACGTGACATCATACTATCGCCTTCCCTATATCTTGTGGTTTATTGTTTACGTCTATGTTTACAAAAGATAAATATTTACTTGAAAATACATAA